TTTTCTTTAAAATAAAAAGAAAAAGGAAAAGGAAAAGGACTTCCAGAACTGCTTCAGACAGTGGGAAGAGCAGTGGGATAAGTGTTTTTGAAGCAAAGACGAGGATTTTGAAGTGAGGGGGTTAATGACAATTTTACTATAATAAATTTTTTATTCAAATGCACCACATTTTTAAAATTTTCATCTTTATTAGTACACATCTGCAGAGCATAATGATCACTTTCATCATGGGGAATGGTTACGTGTCCATAACACATCTCAGTATTTTTCAATCACACTTCACATTGCAGTTCTTAATTGTAAACAAGAAAATACAATCCATCAAATTCAGTTTCAATTCCAGCAAGATAATTATTACAAGGCACTAGGTAGTTTGCACAATTTCTGATAGAGTTGATAAACACAGCTAGGGAATTATACTTAGAAAAAATACCCAGGGACATGCAGGCCATCTCTACAGAAAAGATCAGTGCGTCGGTCACTCAGCAATCCCCAGAGCTAAGATTGAACCCCAAACACCTGCCACTGGCACCCAGAGGACTGGGTGCCTTCAGCCTCACGCCCACGCACACGCCAGCTGCTCACACACCGCTGCTCTGATTGCCGCTCCGCTTTGGAATTCATGCTTGTTTTACAGAATTTGATCATCCTACCAGGAACTGTTACCAGATTTCGGGACGCTGGAGTCTCCTGGAGATGGTCTCTAGGTTCTTTCTGTCCAGAGCAAAGAATTCATCAAGGCAAGCACAAATGGTAGTAGTTTTATTAAAGGTAGGAAAAGAAACAGGCTCTGCGGAGCTGGTCCAGGTTTGTAGGGAAAGAGTTGCACCGTACAGCGTGAGGTCGGCCACTATGCAAGACAGAACCCCGGGCCAAAGACGGTCCCGCTTGCATCACCCATTCCTCAGGCTGCCGTCCGGTCCAGGCAGCCCTATAGAAAACCGGCTCGCGTTCTCGCGAGAAGTCCACATGCAGGCCTTTGGGAACTGTACTGCGCATGTGTCTTGGATTTTAACTTAGCAGGTCAGGCCTACTTCCCCAGCCAGTTTTGCCACCCCCGAATCTCCTACCAAAGAAGGGCGTCTAAGGTTTTGCATTTTCAGTAGGCAAGACTCACCTGACAAAGTATCAAAATGTAAAGACATGTTCAAAGGTAGCTGACCACAGCCACTGGTGTCCTCCTAGCCGGACTTCTTGAGTCTGCATCTCTATATAGCAGTCTGTAGTCTTTCCAGGATGTGAAGAGTATTGGCCTGGAATAGGAAATGAACAACCAAAGTCCTCTCTTCACCAAATGTTTATTGTTTCTTCCCCTCTACATGCTCACAGAAAGTAGCATCAGATTAATTATGCATATTTACCATGTTTTTAAAGCATCTTGCAGTTCCTTGTGACTTGTTCCTACTCAGTTTTTAATGGCTTCAGTTTATCTTTACATTTTAAACTCATTGTAGATTTTCTGTTGCCCAACAACATAGATGAAAGGCAGTTATCTAAGAAAATACAGTATCCCTCCAAGTAATGGTTCCAATGGCTCCTTTATCACAGAAGAAAAAAATATGGAAAGGTGGTACATTCTCACATATTTTAATCATAATTACAGTGTACTTCTGGGAGTACCACTCAGTACCTCCCAGTACCACTGTACCGAGAGGGACATTTGTCACAACGATTATTAAAGTCAACATATGATCTCTGTTGCCATTTCATACCACAAATTATAATTTAGCCTTAGTACACTCAAACTGCCTTTTAAACATAGCTAAATCTTCAAAATTTTGAAACTCCCTTAATATTTCTGTGTTTCAGTCAGCGAGGGTCATCAGCAAAGCTGCGATTGAGAGGCGGGATCAGTGACAGCCCAGAAACTCATCCATTTCATGCCATCAGGTCACCCTTAACTTCATCATTCGCCTGTGACCTTCTGAGGCATAATCAAAAGGCGCAAAGACAGCAGCAGAACCTGGATTAGCAACCTTTCTGTGTTTCAGCTAAATTGTTCTTTTTCACCCCAAAACAATACACACACACCAGTGAATGTAAAAAGCCTTGCAGTGGAGTATTATTTATCAAGCCTTGGTTACTTAACATGATCTCCTACATCAGGTTTGTACCAATGTCTATCTACTCATTACTATTTGACCATTTTTTAACTCTATGCTAAATTTGTATATGCTACAGCAATAGCATTAATAGTAGTACTTATCTTAAAGAGAATTAAAAGAAAAACAATTCCATGACTTTCCAAATTTCTCCTTATAACAACTTTAGAGCCTAGGACATTTGCCTAAATACCAGAGACAAAATCTACGTGGGTGTCCCCAGTGGAAACTTTTCTTCAGATGTAAAACACTGATGTGCTTGTTAAGGCTCAAAGGAATTCAATGTAATTTGCATGTGATAGCTTTGTTTCTCATGGTAATGATGAATCTAGAAAAATAAAAGAATGCAACTTCTGACAAGCCAGGCATTGGATTCAAAAAAAGAATCCTTTTTTTTTTTAATTAATATGAGATATGAAAAGGGAGAATAATATTTGGCTATTGAACTGCCTACACAAAGAAAAATCAACAAACAGATTAATTGGAAAAGTTATTCCAACTACTTTGGGACCTGGTTTGAGGGAAAGAAGAAAGGCATGACTGACATTTTTGCTGTTTAGCTAATTGCTTTGGCATTGTGTTCACACAATGCTGGCCTGGATTTTGGGGGATTTTTTTCTGTGGACTCAAGGAATTCCTCACCAGCATCGCACCCAGGTGGGAAACACTGTAAAATAAACTAGGAAGTAATGAAAAATCTTTTCACATCATTGTAGTAAATACATAAGTATACTTGATGTCAGGATTGTTTATGTGCTGAGCTTTTCTAACATTACTGAACAAGTAGAAACTGCAAACAAACAGATAAAAGGAAAATCTCAAAGCTTATAGGAAATGGGGCTAGACAGAAACAAGATCTGATGACAACAAAGATTAAGTATAAAGAAGAGATCTGCTGTGTTTACGGAGTATGTTGGGGAAAAATTAATAACTAGAGTTTTCTTCAAAATAAGATGCAAAACTTGGGCAAAAAAGTTTTTAAAACTATAGTAATTGTTATGGTTTTGACTATGTGGAGTCATACCAACACTTACATCTGCTGTCAACCGCTTCCTAGGTAGGTGACTTTGAGAAAATTTCATCCATTTACCTTCTGTTCCTTAACCAACGAAATGAGGCAAATGCTAGTATCTACCCCATAGGTATGTGCTATAATTAAATTTCCCTTGGTAAAAAATAACCAGTGCCTGCTTTTTCTGATATAATCATAATTTGCTTTAATATCAAATTCATGGAAAAGTCAATAAAAGTGAAGCTGAAAAGTCAAAAAATAATAGATCAATGAAGAGAACTTGAATGTGCGTAAAATAAGGTGCACATCTGAGAGAAATAGCCTGTTTCTAAGACAGTTTTATAAGAGGTCTTGCTTCTCTGGTTTTATCTACTTTCTGACATGACAATATGTATGGAATGGTGAAACCAAACCCCCCAAATTCAAGTACTGACCTCTTATAGGACCTCCCTCTGGTATGGGAAGAACCGAGGTTTTGGGTCTTACTTTTTAACAATAATAGAATAATAATATAATGAGGAATGTATAGATTTTTTTTCCTAGTCCTATGAAATTGTTTACACTATTAAAAATTAAGAGAGTTCTGGTAGCAGCCAGACATGGTGGTTCATGCCTACATATTTAGCACTAAGGGAAGCTGACGCGGGAGGACTATGAATTCCTGATCAGCCTGGGAAATTTAGCGATTTAGTAAGACCCTGTATTAAAATAAAAAATAAAAAGAGCTGAGGATTTATCTCTATATGAAGCCCCTGGGTTTAGCCCCTAGTACAAAGAGAGAGGGGGTGGGGAGAAAGGAAAGGAAAAGAAAAGAAAAGAAAAGAAGGAAGAAAGAAAATAAGAATTACAGTAGCAACGTTTTGTTTACCCTCTGACTTGAGTGACCCATCCCACTATTTCAGGTGAAGGCATAGTTTAACGTAGGCCATGAATTTCTAGCCTCCAATAATATCAAAACAGGTTTATTTCCTAGCCGTCTCACATACAGCCAGCTGTCTTCCTGGCCATGAGTTGAGATAGCCTATCAACTTTTCCTGTCACTCTGATTTGATCTGAGAACTCAGATTTTAAGGCATTCAGCAGCTAGTTACAGCCCAGCCCAAATTTAAAGACATAGAAATGGCAGTGTGTGATACACCAAATCCGCACATGTACAGGCTCACCCTTCTCGACATCCTTCTTCAACTCCAATTTCTCCCCCAGCAGTTTTCCTCCCTGGTCCCATGTCTATCAAGTCCTTGTGATAAGAAGAGTTCCCTGCCCTTGTTACAACTGGAAGAAAACTACAAGTGTTGAGTGAACTAGATAGACGATGAAGGTAGATGAGCATCAGACAAATGAGAAATAGGATAACATGCAAAGAAAAAACCAGAATGAGGTCCGCCTGAAAGAAATATCTTGGCCAATGACCTAATCAAAGAAATGAACACTTCATTCCTGGCAAAGGCTCAACCACCAGGAATGGCAAACTAGAAGATGGAAAGTTTCCTTCCTGAGGTTCCGTGTCACGTACAGAAAGACCTGTAAGAGTTCTGCATGAGCTGCACTCTGGGTAACCAATAAAACAATTGGGTGGGGTAAATTTTGGCATCTGCAAGTCAATAAACTCTCCCTTCTATGTTTTCTTTGTTCTTCTTTCTTTGTTTGATTTTATTTTTTTTACAAACCCTTGTGTCCAGGGCTGACTTTCAAATAGATCGCAGCAAGCGAGCTGCTCTACTGCTTACGAAGCCTCGACCCAGAAGCAGGTGCAGAAATGGTTTAAAGCCGGGTTCCCCATGAGAACATGCGTTCTGCGAGGGGCGCATGTATTCTTAAAAACAGTGCCTGCTGTCATGAGCCATGAACCTTCCCTTGTTTCCGCTGAGCTTTGTGTGACACAGCAGCGATTTACAAAGACTCTGCAGTGACCAGCTGTCTTCGACACAACTGCGTGACTGGAACGGTAGCATGTATTTTTTCTGGACTCGCAACCAGAAATGAACCAAATGGTACCGACCGACAAACACCAAGATGCACGGACCGCCAATTGGAATTTAGGACGAGCCTTTATGGCAAGAAGAGTTCCCTGCCAGGGACTGACTGAGAGCCTCCACGCAGGGAAGGATCAGACCAGTGCCCACCCAGGGACGAGAGTACCTTTTAAACCCTAAAACCGCATCCTGTTTGCCAAACATATGTCACATCTGTAACAATGAGGGGATTTTTTATGGCAGGAACAGTACATTCCGAGAATCCGGGAGGGGTAGAGCATTTACGGGGAGAACAGTACATTCTGGGAGTCCAGGAAGGGCAGGGCGTTTACAACCAGTTTACAACCATACATTCCAGAAATGGTAAAGATGAAGATCTAACCCCACGGCAGGGGTGAGAACTGGGAGTTAAACTAGAACCTTTGATGTCTGTGGTGGGGCTTTTACAGTATTCTACTCCTTTTATCTAAAGGAATCTTCTTTAACTACGGAAGATGAACAAAAAAATAGGTTCACAGTGGACAGAGACTTTTTTGTCATTATGTTACTTGGTGACACCATTAAAGATTAGCTCCTATGGCAGCACTCAAGGATGTTCCTGTTTCAAGACTTTGTAGGCACCCTAGGAGCTCACTGTGCACTTCGAGATGATGAGCACCTTCTCCTGCCCCACAAAACAATGTATGCTTCACTTTTCAGTAACATTGATTGGCGTTCACAACAAACCCTAATAATTTAGAGACTTGTAGGGAAAAAATGTATATTCCAAATACCAAATTTAGGGTCTGATATTAAGACTTTTTACTAATTACATTTTCCAGAGAATCTAATAATGTTTAGGCCTAATACAGTGAGTTCCACTATCCATTCTACCCTGACCAGCTACACACTCAGCCTAATTTTCCTGAGCTTCAGGTCTGCATTCCAAGTCCTTACTGAACAGCGCTCGCTCAGTGTCACCAACTGACATCTCAAAAATTATGTCCAAAACTAATATTAAATCCTCCACAGGATCTGTCTCTCCTTGACGTTCATTACCCCTGCTAATCTGAAGGAATACATACAGTTTCTCCTTGTTCACAAAACATGTGACCGCTATTTCCTCTGTACATGCAATGGTGCTGTAGATTCTTCCTCAGCAGCAGCTCTTCCCGCGGGTCCCTTTCCTTAAACCAATGCTCTCTCATAGACCTTCCTGTCTCACATCTAGATTATGGCAAAGTCTTCAAATAGCTCCTTGCTTTCAGTTCCCCCCCTCTTTCTAATCTATCTAGAACACAATTGCCTCATCCATCTCTCTAAAGATGGTGTCATTTCATTCACTCTACTCAAATCTTTTTACAGCTTCCCAGCACCAGTTGAATGAGGTTGAAACGCCCTACTTACCCTGTTAATCATCGCCTCCATGATCAAAACATAATCTGTCTTCCCAATCTCTTGTATTTATGCATACATCCTGCCAACCCATCTGAAGTATTTACCGGCTCACTTTTTACTGCTTTAGCTGCCTGAACATTGTTGAGGACATTGTTCAGTCTTTTGTATAGAACTGTATATAAAAGATTTTGATTAGACTAAACTATTACTTCCTCTGGTAAGTTTCTTCTACTTTTAACAGAATTAAACACCTATCTTTACCTTTTGAAACTGCTACATAGCTCAGAAAAACTGTGGCTGAGTTATATCAATAACAGTTTTCCCTATGCTCTTGACATTGGTGCCCTTTTTTCAGGATCATTTTTAAATTTTCTTTTATACTTTATATGATGCCCTTTGTTAGCTCTAATGTATCATTTTCTATTCTGGGATGAGGCAAGATAAACAAATTCCATTAATAAGCCTTACATAGTATTCCATTCAAAATAACTTCCTGTCTTTCCCCAGAGATTACACACCACCGTTGATTAGATACTCATTTCTGCCTAGTTTTAAAAACTATTGTTCTTTATTAGTACATTTTACAGTTTGCAGTGTTTGTATTCATCCTAGGGAATAGGTTTATGTACTTAACACATCTTAATCCTTTGTTATTCTCTTCCCTTCTCATTCCCCTACTTTTTTCCTTCTCTAGATCCTTTAGTCCCTTGCAAAAGATCAATCTCTGTTTCCCATTGTCCATCTTTAACTTTTTAAATTATTTACACTTTGAGTTTCTCACATAAGTTACACAATATGTAAGCTCATGCGTCTGATTTGGTTCACTTCACACTGTGGTCTTCAAGGTGCATCCCTTTCCCTACACACAGACCTGCTCTGCTCAGCACAACCACACTGCATGAGCCTCTCCAAGCCCCACCTCTTGTTTCACCCCTGGACCTACTTCTTCCTGCTAATCTCACACGGCTCAGTGCTGAGCCCTTCCTCAGTCTCCCTCTGAGGCTCCCCAGTTCACCTCCCCATCCCCCACGGACTTGGCACTCACCTTTCTGCTCTGGTGTCCTAGTCACAGACAAGAACAAAAGGAGCCCTAAGCCACCCAAACCGCATACCTCAGATTCTCCCTAAGGAAAAGCAAGACCAGCTGTCTTCATCCCCCTACAAGGCGCTTTTTCCTAAACTGCACATTGCTCAGTCCTAACCATGTTTCAAGTCGTCACACTCAGCTCCTCCTTAAAGTCTTGCATAACTCCCACTCCTATAACCAAAGAGCACTTTTCTGAAATATGCAGCATTTAACTGCTTTTCAAAGAAGGTTTTTATTTCTTGCTTTTGGAAGGACAAATGCAAATTAAAAATAAGAGGCTTAATTTTCCCTATTGAAAAGAAGGGAAGAATTATTTTCTCTGTCCTTTTTCAGCATTTGCTTTAGATAACTTGTAATCTTAAGTACTTTCTCCTCTCTTTGACATTTATATAAATCGTCCTGGGAGCTAAATAGACCTTTTGTCAGCTTTATGACTCAGGAATTTCTTTCTCAAGGGCCTGGAAACAACATCCCTTACTTCCTAGTCTCTGTGTGCTAAGGGGCTGACTTTGGGAGGTGCCTTCCTCCAGTCTGGAAAACTGTCTCCCTCATAGAGATAGAAATTTGCATTTCCTGTCAATAAAGCCAATTCATTAACGCACAGAATCGCTCCAGCTACCTGGTTAAGTTAGGATGCATTGAGTGGGGCAAACACTGCAATGAATTTCTTGCACTGGAAGACGAGTTATAGCTTCTCTCAAGAAGACTAGGTCTTGACTTGTGCCTACTTAGCCAGATACAGTTTGGGTCTGAAATGCTTCCCAAAGTGCACTGCTTAAGGCTTGGTCCCTAGCCGGTGACACTACTGAGGAAGATGGTAATGTAGATGGTACAATCAGGGCTGGTGAACCACTCAGCCCCACTCACCTAAACCTGGGCAACGCCCTAGGGCCAAGCCTCAGAGATAAGAAAAACAAAGATCCCAAGAAAATTCCGAAACGCCAAACCAAGACACATGCATGCCAAACCTGCCAGCAGGACCTACACATGATCTGCAATAACCTCTTTTCACTCGGAGCTCATGAAAGGTTCTGCGTACAGGCCGCATCCCATACCTCCAGTTATAACAGAGTGCATTATGGGAAAGGACATGCGCAGTAAACACAGCTGACGTGACTCAGGACCTTGTCAAACAGGCAGTCACTCGCTCTGGAGGACCCCCTGGGAAGCACCCCAGACCAGAGCAACATAATGAATTCTTAAGCCCAACATATTCAAGCCCGTGCCATTTTCCCACCAGTACGAGCACACCATCGCCTAACTAAGCTCTATTAAACTGCTCATTTTTCCTTACCGTCACATGTTATACCCAATTCTTCATTGGGCACAAAACCTAGTAACCCATCTGGGACCCCATCACTGACAGCAACAGTGGAAACCATTGGGTGGGGCATAGTTGGAGCATGAGGCAGGCGTGTCCTGGAACTGTACACCGGGACCTTGGCCCCTCTCTCTTCCCCCTCCCCTTCCCCTTTCCCGTTCCCCTTCCCTCTTTCTCTCCTTTACAGCTCCCTACAGGTGAATGTCTTGGGCTTCTCACCCAGATGTTCTGACTCTCCAAGAGCTCAAAGGAAGGTAACCAAGGAACACAGACTGAAACCTTTGTAATGATGGGCAAAAGAACCTTTCTCATTCACTTCACCGCATGAGGGAAAGTAACACAGCTCTATCAGGAGAAGGAGATTCTCGTCTTTGCCATCATTGAGCCAGTCACGACCATGTGTATCGCTTTTTACATTTGTACTTATTCAATAGTATGTTTGTTTATTTGTGCCTCAGTAAAGCCATTTCAAAGGGAGTGGGAAGTCACACGTATTTTTAAAAGTGCTTTCCTTTTCTACTGGCTTTTTGGAGGGGATTTCTGGGCTGGAAAGCAAGTTTGTTTTCAATCATTTTTTCCTACACCCTACACGCGAGATATTTTGAGTGTTTCATGTTTCCTATCACGGAATCACTCTACATACTAGATATTCAAGTAATGTAATGTACACAAGCTACATTAGTTGCATATTGTTATCATAATTATTAGGTTATTTCAATAGTTATCAGCATAGTCTCCTATAGTTAAATGTGGTTGAGGTCTCATAGACACACACACACACACACACACACACACACACACACACCTTACTACCATGCTACATGTTACTATGGAAACCACTATCTGACTATTTTCTTCATAAATATTTCTTACCAAGCAAATACAAAATGTTACTCAACCTATTTAGTAACTGGATGAAATCCCAGCTCCCTTGTCCTTTCAGAACTCTAAAAATTACCTTACATGAAATTTTTAGCCAAGACAATTGCAATAATTCTGTCAGCAAGATACAACTATACTAACAGTCAACTGTCAGAATGTAAATGCCAAAATGTATATGCATTTCAGAACACAGAACCAGATGCAAATCTTAAATCTAGGGTACATTTTTAAAGGTGTCAGTTATTTGAACCTGTGTTGGTTTGGGGCTTATTTTGCAAGGGGAACAATATAATACAGGATACATACTTCATATGATTATTTATAATAGTCACCCAAAGAACAGTATACAAAAGAGTGCAGGGAATCTGTCCACACACTAAGACCAAGGAATCCAGCTGAGGGCCTGGATCCCACAACAATGTCCTACATGAGTTGAGCTGAATACCCAAAGCTCATAACAATGCCTCCCACAAATCCAACTGGAGGCCCAGAACCCATGACAACGTCTCATGCAGGCCTGTTTCACGGATCTGCTGGGAAGGCCCAAAGGTCAGTGGTGGAATTTACAAAGTCTGTGCCAGCAGGAAGAAGGATCTGTGCTAGCAGGCTGAGGGATCTGCACTGGAGCCAGGAAGTGATGCTCAGAAGAACCACAACTCCCCCAAAAGGTACCATGGCCATCCTCGGCAACTGTGAGGTCCC